TATAAAGACAACTAAGAGACAGATGGCTGGCAAGCCATAATTTTCCCAATGGCATTTATACATGTCCATTCAGTGCTTGTATTTGGGTCATTTGCTAGGATAAACCCCATGTGACAGGCTCACTGAAAGTAAGGCAAAGTAGTCCATACTGGCTTCACCTAATTTTAATTTACTATTAAAAGATGTACTTGTTCAAGCAGCAAATTGAACCTGTTCTGCATAGATCTGACTAAACTTTGTTAGAAAGTAAAAGATCATATTAAAATATTAAATATAATATTACATTATATTATATGTTATAATATTATAATATATTAAAATATATAAACTATAAACTGTAATCACTTGCATATTTTCCAATGTATCATAAATTTGGAAGGAAATCGGTCAAATAGCACCCTTGTACACAGAAACTTCTTCCAATAAAGACCTGAGGGGACAACCCTGGATACAAAACAAACTTCTTCCTTCTATACTTGATCTTAGAGCAATTCTTCCTAAACAGGATTTTCTAAATACCAAGCATGACTTCAGTGGTTGAACATACTAGAACTGTAAGGTAACAATCCCAGATTGGTCCACTGCAAGTCTATTAAAAAGAATTTTTTAGAGGAAAGTTAACAGAGTAATTGATCATTTCATAAGGGATTCTTATCATACCAGCTCAAAACCCAAACAGATAGTCACTTCAAAAGGTCAACTAGTAGGAATAGTTGAATATCTTTAAGAAAAAATGGTTTTTTAAAAAAAAGTTATCATGCCTCCATCCCTTCATTTTACATGCTGTTAGTCAAAATCTTTATGACTTCGAATTAACTCGTGTCTCTATAAAATCAGATTTATATTTACATCCAAGTGAATAAATTAGGAACATGCTATTAAGAGTTTGGGGTAGTTCTGATTCAAAAATAGAAATTTTGGCTGTGGAGTTGCTCCTCCAAATTTCACACAATTATTGCACGATGAGATAGCTAAGAAACCCAAAGGTCATGTTAATGATCAAGGTTAGGTTGAACAAATACAAAATGGGCAAAAAGGAAAACAATTTTCAAAGGAGCCACAAACCCACTTCCCACTTCCCAAAACTCAAATTATCTTTTTTTAAGTAATGCATGATTTTATTCACCCAAGAATAAAAATATGTATTAGCTGATTATCTTCTTACTTGTTATACATCATAAAGGGTTTGCCATCAATTAGGTGATATGTGCAAAAAGAATTCAGACTACAAAAAAAATAGATATGGCATCCTTCTGCTACTCTGAAGTAAATAGACTCCTCTTTTAGCGTCATCTCTATGCAAAACTTCTAATAGTACTTTTAAAGCGGAGATGGTGAAAATGATGCAATGTTATCCTCAATAAATATATAAGAGAGCAGAGAACTTGGGATCAGCAAGTTTTTTTTCCACTGACCTAAACACCAAATTTCGCCAGAAAATGAGATTGTCCTTCAAGATGTCACATTCATGATGACTTAGAATTTGGCAAAGACTGTTTATTTATCATTGCAACTGTACTCTAACCACAATTTAAGATTCAATACAATCATGACTAGACTGAAGGCAAAGGGATGAAGAGGGGGATGAAGCTATATATGCTTTTTCATCAGATATGATGAATTCTACTCTTCTGTTTCTTTCATCACATCCTAGCCATATTCTTAAGTTTAGCATTAAGACACTTGTAAAATATTAAGTTTTACCATAGGGAAATCGATTTTGCTACAAAAAAGTTTCAGGTTACCACTTAATCTCAACCAAGCTACATCAAACAGTGAAAGAAATTATATATGTAGTTTACAAAGTAAACTTGATCACTATATTTAAAAGAAATGATAACTTTGAGAAGTACCACAGCAATAATGTTTAAGCTGAAGCAATATAAAGCCCTCCTACAACAAATGCCAGATTCTTCAGCTAAAATGCAGAGTCTTGATTTAGTTAAGCAAGTCAAGCGTAAGAGCCATCTCCCTCCTTGTGAGCTGCTCCCAGCACTGGCCTCTCTCCTTCTAGAACTCTATTTCACAGAGTTCTTGAGGGGGCAGGGGGACTGAGCGCAGTGGAATCCACAGATGCCGTTTACACAATGTTTTAAACTTGAGTCTTTGTAGTCTGAAATGGAGCAGTGGAAGTAAACACATTATCATCATCCTACAGTTTCCACTTGACTCCCCAGCTCTCTCCCCGCTCCACATACCAGTGAGTTAGAGGAGGCAGATAAAAAGTATATCCGAAAAGCCACAATTTACAGAGCACCTTGGCACTGTGCATGCTATGCAGACATCCAGCAAGTTCCACGCTTCTACTCAAAGGCATTTCAGAATTTCTAGGATACATAAAAACTAAGTTTGATTCTGTTAAGACCGCACACTCTTAAGAGTATAGGACTGCATATGCGGTTCTGTTACTAAGAAACTTAGACTAACATACACTTCCATGTTGTGGCCAAGTGCAATTTATATTTACAGGCTCTGAACATCACAACGGTAATATAATGTCTATATGTCATATATTGAGCAAGCCCACCATCAAAGCACAACTAATTTATCCCCTCACTCACACTGTTCTCCCCAAGTTATAAAGTCCTAACACTACTGACTGATGATTAAAGAACACATAATAATTAAATCTACAGAAAAAATGTACACGCAAATTTCGTTTAGTTCAAGTCTTCATATTTTACAGAATGCTTTCTTCTGAGATATAATTTTTAAAGAACTAAACAGCAATAAAGGATAGCATACACTGGGAACGCCTGACTTACCACAGGATTCTACAATACTTACTGTACTACAGCAAGCTACTTTTTTCCCCCAAACTCTTTATTCTTAGTTTAAATGACTACTTTTCAAACTGTCCCCAACAGAACCAAGAACTACCCAGATTAATCCCTGAGCTCATTTTAGTGAAAAGTCGCCCATCTTTGGAAGGAAGAGCTGTTTCTTCCCATTCCTTTTTCTTCCCTGTCAAGAGCCTTTTTTTTCCCCATTCCCTAGAAAGAGCAGGTGCACAGTAACACAGAAGTGGAAAGAACAGAGCAGCTCACCTCACTCTTACACAAAGACCATTTATTTCTCAGACCATGTATCATAATTGCTAGATCTATACACTGCTTAAAAGTTAAGGAAAAGTTTATGTCTAACATTGGCTTCCTTATCAACCAGTCTCTGACAGACACTACATAAAATGCATTAAGAAGAGTTTGCTTTATTTCATTGCACCTATTATCAGGGGATTTCATAACAGACATGTGGGTGTAAACTTAGATTCACGGATTTCAAGCATATATCCATGAACATGCTTTTAGCCGGAGAGTGGGCACACCAGAGAATACAGAACATGGCTAATTACCACCCAGAGAAGATTCTGCCTTGACTTGCCCTCACTATCAACCACTTTGCTTAAGTTCACTCTCTGCCTTGCCTTGACCCTGGGGATCCATTCGCTTTCCATAGCCCAGAGAGGCTGCTGAAAAGCTGTCAAAGTAAATCTGTGCTCACTTTTTGGATGGTTTAATTTCAATGGAGCATGAAACACCCCAGGACGGTTAATAAGTTTAGCCAGGCGTGCTGTTCTCCCTAATATATTTTAATTATGCATCTGTTTTAATTGTAATCAGATTAAGTCACCGGAAAGGCACAAATTGGAATTTTCCCTAATGGCTATTGGAGCTTTTCATCAGTTTCTAAACACTAACAACATTTAAAAAATAGGTAGAGACACGAGCACAACTGTGACATTTTCCAGAAATCGATGCAGTTTCTTTGACAACACAGTTCAGGTCTCATTAGCCACCCAAACTAGCCCAAATGCAGAAGACAACTTCAGTCTCTAGGGGCGTCTTCTTCCCCAATTAGCACAAAAGAACCGCTAATGTCTAATGTAAAACTCCCAAACAGAAATGAAAGCCCAGGCTTTTATAAAGTGCTACTCCATCGATTGGTGAGCCAGGCGGGGGAAGCCGGAGAGCCCATCAGCAGCATTATCTGTAAGTACCGTAGACGTCCAACGGGAAAGTTGCAGCAGAGTACGATTCTCTCCTTCCACTATTTTGGTAACTTTCAAAGGTGTGGTTTTTTTTCCCCGGGAACTAAAAGTGTCCCATCAATAAAAGGAAGCGCTACAGGGAAGATCTATTAAGAGGAGGGGAGCGGCTTCCTTCCAGCCCAGACGTAAAATAGCACAATGTGCACCAACAAAGACCTAAGACTTTTTTTTTCCATTTAATATGATCATTAACAGGTCCCCAAATTGCTGCGATTTCCGATAAGAAACTTAAGCGTTCGCCAGCAGCCAATAAGCAAGAGAAAGAACCTGCTGCACACTAAGAACCCAAACTCCTTCAGACCGCCCAGCGCGCTCGCTTCCCCAGCGTTTGCTCTGGGTGTTGTTTACGCGTCTCCTAAACCTTCAGGTGCTGGACCAGTTCCTCCAAGACGCGCTTCAGCCTTAAAGCGGGAAGCTTCTGAGCCACCGCGGAGTCCCCACGCAGCCCGCCGACCCCTTACCTGTCATCATAGCAGAAATCCGCACTCAAGGTGTTGAGATACAAGGCGAGCCCCAGAGCGCTGCTCACCAACTCTGCAATCATCTCTCCACCGCCTTCCCTCCGGCTCGGCTCCCAGCGCGAGGGCAGCAGCGGCAACAAAAAACAGAAGCATCAATCCCCACCTTCCGCCGCCTTCTCCTCCCAGCTTCACTTTTTCCTAGCTCCCCACCCTCTTGTCCCTCCCTTCCTCCCTCGGGTCCTTGCAGTCCACCGCTCTCCTCCTCCTCCTCGCGCCGGTCTCCGCAGACGCTGCGTCCTCTCTGGGTGCGGGCTCACACCACGCTCCCCATGCCGGGCGCCCGCGAGCGGCTGGCGTCTTTCGGGCTTCGCGCCCCCCGGCGGATGCACAGGGCTGGTCCTTCGCGCGGCTCGCGGCCCCCACCCTAACCCATGGCAGTTTAGGGCGCCCTAGGTGAGGACTGGGACTCGGAGGAGGTGGAAGAATGCGGGATGGGGGCAGAGGGACCGGACCCAGCAGGGTTCTGGGACCAGCCGGAGGAAGAGAAAGAGGGGCGGGTAGGAGGGACAAGGCGAACCGCCTCCCCTCGCCGCCTCCCGGGCGCACGACTCCGGTGCTGCTCGGGCTGACTCCGGCCGCCACAGCAGCTGCCGCTCATTCACTCTTTATTAGCTCCCTCCCCGCCCCAGCCGCTTCTCCAGTGAAGTGAGGAGCGGTGGCTGGAGACTCCCGAAGCTCCCGCGTGGGGTTCTCGGCGCGGCCCCCCGCGCCTGCGTGGCCAGCCCTCCATCCCGGCTTTGGCCGGCCCCTTTCTCCACCCAGATCCTCCCCCCCCCGAGGCTCCTCCCACACTACCCCCTGGCTGGAGGCTCCTCCCAGCTCCCTGAGGCCCGAGGCTCCTCCTACCCACCTCCCGCCCTCCTCCTGTTTCTTTCACCTTCGATTTCACTCTGGAAAGCCCTCGGGACCCAAGGGCAACCGCTGGAAGACAGCCCAGGGGGGGTAGCTGGAGTGCGCCCTGGGAGAAGGAGCTGGAAGAGAATCGACACCACGGAGGACACGGTCGCTCGCGCCGCTGCTGCCTGGCTGCGCCTGGCACCGACTCAGCCCCAGCGCTGCGTGTGCCAAGCGCTGCCAGGCGTAAGTCCGGTCAGCTGGAGGGACTTCTGGGGACCGGGAGGGGAAGAACAGGTTTGGCGAGGGCTGCAGCCTCACTTGCCACCAACATCGACGCGACCTCGCATACACGCTCACACGGTGCGAGCCGAAAAGGGAGGGGGTATTGGAGAGCTTGAGGGGCATCTCAGGAGGAGAGATTGCAGCTCCGAGTCTACCGCCGTCCCAAATGTCAATAGAAAGATGAATTGGGGGGGGGGATGGTCCCGCAGTCAGGTTAAAAAGAAGGGACCCCAAAAGAAGAAAGAAACACATACAGACACGCCGCAGCTGCGGGGGCCTTTCGTGGTTTCAGGGGGACTTTCAGGCTGACTCTGGAAACATTAGAGAAGAGACGCCTCTGCAGCCCAGCGCAGCGCTATCCTCAAAACCTAGGACGGCGGGAAGCTAATGCCGTTTCCTTTCCGCCCGGATGCAGGACTGGATGGAAGGCGTCCAACCTGATAAATTATGGTGTAGAAGAATGGCCTGCGTAGACGAGCTCTGGGTACTAAAGTTGCGAGACCAAAGAGGACAGCGGGCTGCCTGCCACACCTCCTCCTGGCTTGGCCCCCTTCTGGCTGGGCGACGCGCGCCGTGGGACCACGATGAGCACTACTACAGCGCCCCCTGCTGCATGGCAACCACAATGCTTGGAAAACAGACCTGTAGAGGGCTGACCAACCCCGCCCCCCGCCCCTCCACCCTCCGGGGGAAACACCTAACTGCAGAGCTTTCCAGGACTCTGGCAAGAAATCGAATCTCTTGGATGTCTGGCAGTGGCCTGAAAAGTAGATACGGTGGTTTGGGGTTCAGCGAAACACAGCTCCATCTTTTCCTGATTTCACGAAAACAAATCTGTGTAGACACAGATGAAATGATGAATATTTATTATACCTATTTTGCCATGCACGACAGACACATTTTTGTTCCCTGACACAAACATACGGGAGCATACGGAAAACAGAGTTGTAGCTTTAAAGGCAGAGACTGATCTTTTACCTTTTTATTGTAACTCCATAACCTCTGCTTACTGTTGAAAAGTTTAAAAAATCCTGTTAGTTGACCCATCAAGTGCCTCGGTGTCTGTATCCCTCCACTGCATTTACATGTTAATATTGGAACCTAAAAGGAACCTACGTGTAAAAGGAACCTTCTAATAGAAGTGATTATTTTTATTTATTATTATTATTATTATTATTATTCCCTCCAACTTTCTCTTATCCTTTTAGTTGTTAACTAAAACCTAGATATATACCTCCAAAATGTAGACCCTGACATCCACACTACTCCAACGCAAGTCCAAACTGCCTTCACTTCCTGCATGGACTAATGCAGTACCTTTCTAAATGGTTTTATTTGTACTCCTGCTACTCTCTGCTCCCCACAGTCTTAACTTCAGGCATCAGACAGAAGATTCTTTTGAAAACCTACACTCTCTTTACTTTAAAATGTTCAATGATTTCCTGATGCACATCAAATAAAACTCTTGATTCTTACCATGGCCAGCCAGGCCCTCATTTGGCCCTGATCCCTCCCCTCCCCTGACATTGTCAGCAACAGACATCCTCCTCCTCTGATACTTACCACCTTCTTCTCTTTCTTCATAGGGTGCCTTCCCAGACCTTCTCTAGCTCCTTCTCAGCATTCCGATCTTAACTTAAATGTTCTCACCGGAGATACTTTCCCAGCTCACACTAGCATTGTACCAGGAACCCCACCAGAATGGCAGCTCCAAGAGGGCAGGAGCCTTATCAGCCTGGTTTTCCACATCATACCCAGAGCCTGTAACATCTGGACAGGTAGAAGAAACTAAAACAAAACAACACAAAATATTGACAAGAAATGAACAAATAAACATGCTTAGCAGAAACTTGATAGCAGCTGAAAATCCACAAATTTTCATTATGAGAGAATAAGGTAAGCTGTTTTGTTGTCCACGTCAAATAATGAAGAATTAACACAGGAGAGGGGGAAGAAGTAGGTTAAAAATTCTTAAGGATGCACCAGCTCTGCAGGGAAACCTGTGGTAAGTCACACACAGACAGCTCTCTTCAATAATTAAGAGGACTCAGAGGCATGAAGGTAGTAGAGAGGTTTGGGTTCAGCGTGCTAAAAGCTTATAAGCATTTCCAGAGCTGTCTTCACTTCGAGGCTCCAAAAGTTTTAAATAAATATTTTCCACACATATCCCCCCCACCTCCTCCTTTTCTCCTCTCCCTACCCTCAACTCCTGGAGATTGGGAGCTTGGGAGATGGTGAGAAATGTACATTTTGCTATCCCTGATGAATGAAAGGCTGAAAAACCAGCTGTGTTGCTTTTAACAAATTTTCCTATTTTAATTTAATGTGAGTCTCAATATTCTTCCAATGCATTAAACCTTGGTTGCTTTCAGACTTCTCTCCAAGGACTGAGAAACATCCAAAGTCTGCCTTTTCCACCTCCCTTAAACGTCAATGGGGGAGAGCAGAATCAGTTAAAAGATGTCATCGCTATCTTTGGAGACCATTTCAAATCTGGGGACATTGCTTTTTAGCTTATTAAGGTGTACTCACTCATCGTGAGCTCACTACCTCAGTTCTGAATATATTCTACTTAAAGCTACTGTTGCTCTCCACAGATGAAGGAAATGAGGCTGGTTGGCTTGACTTTCCTACCTTAGACACGAGACTGGCCAAAAAAGTGCTAAGCCCTTATTTTCCCAGAGTAGGTTCCACACTTCTGCTACCTCACCACTTCCTCAATGAATTCTTTTTTATAGTCTCCCCGACCTACCCTGCATTTGTTCTGCATTCCCAGGTCTTTGTTGTATAATTCATACCTTTGCAGTGCCAGGTCCTAGGGGGAAAGATTTCCTTATTTGCCTAAGACATTTTTAGTTTATTGTGCAATACTATCTTCCCTTTGGGTGTTGCATAAATATTAACTAAAAATCCACATCTGGTCTTAGTCTTCATTTCTATTTGTCCTAATATAACTTCTCTTTGAACAATTCATTTGGAAAGTGTGCCAAGGGTGAAATGTGGCACATAAATTCTCCTGCCTGCACAGAATGCCTTTTAAAGTGCCCACAGATTTGGTTATTTATGAACAGAAGATTTGCACCTCTTCCTTGCTCTCTCAATTCTAAAATTGTACCAGGCCAAAGTAATTACAAGCTCCCATATGTTTTGTGGAAAAGGTATCCAAGAATCTCCTGCTAAAATCTTAACAGATTGACTAGGAAGCAGAAAAACACTAGCCCAGCAGGTGAAACTGCCTCTTTAGGGAGGTCAGAACAGAGCTCTCTGCTGGGGGAATCATAAGCTCTGGGCTTTACTCAGGAAATAACCCTGCAGGAGAAAAACAGCAGAGCGTGGATGAAATGTGGGTCAGGGAGCTGAAAGAGGCACGCGCGCTGCTTGGTTAACTAATGACAGCGAAAGCATTGGCTACACATGCGACATTGAGATGTTCCCAGCATACCATAAAATGCTGCCCCCGGACACTGCAATATGTAACATCGCTTTGTCCCCAGACTTGTGATCCATTAGGAATATAATTAGGACAATACAGCCACAGAAACAGATCCTGTCACCTCTGTCACCAACCCGGGGCTGTTAAGAACCAGCTGCTCTGAAAATAATGATCACTTTAAAAAACTCTCACAGGCTCCCAGCTTGCGATTCAGAGGACGTGGGGGCATGGGAGGGGAGGGGAGGAGGAGGAGGAGGAGTGTAGAAATAACATGTTAATAACCAGATATGGGTAAATTGCAGAGATGTTCAGGATAATGATAGAATTCAGAAACTCAGTCAAGAAAGCCAGGACAACCCTGATCATAGACTCTCTCTCAATACATTCACATGAACTGGTGTAAACAGTGATCAAAAATTCTAACAGCTTGAAAAAATTGCACAGACTCTTGGGTAACAGAGTTTTGATAAACCTCAGATTCTGTAAAATAAAAAATAAAGAGGAAAGAGAAGACTAGTTTTGATGTGAGCATTCAGTAAACCAGTTACCCAGGAAGGTTGCCCTGGTACTCACCCCAGCATGGACCCTTTAAACCTGCCCGGTCCGCCAGAGCTTTCTGCAAAGGTGGCTTTAAATCTGTAATGTCCAACAGAGCAGCCATCAGCTCCATGTGGCTAGTTAGCATTTAAAATGTGGCCAGTATAACTGAGGAACCGAATTTTAAATTTAAATTTGAAATGAATTTAAATTTGCATGGGGACATTGGCTAGTGGCTACTTAACAAGAAAATGCTTATCAAAGCCATTGTCTGTTCTTTGCACCAGTAACAGCTTTAGTTCTGAACCTCTTGTGCAGGACTGCTCCACACCCACACATGGCTTGCCTTTATTTCTAAAATAGCCACCAGCCATCGAACACTTTTTGGGTGTTAGGCATTTCACTGAGGATGTTATGTTTAAATTCTCATTTAATCCTTACAACCGCCCTGGGAGGTAGGTACCATTACTGTCCCTGTGTTACAGATTAGGATGTAGAGGCGTGGAGAGGTTTAGTAAATTGTCCATAGTCCAGAAGCCTCTAGTGGTGGATCTGACATTGAAACGTCTGTCTTTTAACTCCAGAAGTCTATGCTTTAACAACCATTAAAGCTATGACTTTAATGAAAATGAAAGAAGTCAATGCTTTAACCAACCAACATCAGTCCAATGTTCCTTCTGCTGTCAGAACACCACATCCCCACTAGGGTCTATTTCAGGAGAAGGAACTCCTGGCTATTGCCACGGTGCTCTGACTAAATTCATCTTCTTCTTCCTCTACCTTCCCTCAGATGAGTAGGGATAAACTGCTTTAAAATTTCCCTTATCAACCACTTTTCAATTTTTTTCCCCCAAACCTGGTATCAAAACCTGCAAAGACTCCACAGACTATATACTAGAAACCCTTCCCTATAAAATACACACTCCACATATATTTTTTTTAAGATTTTATTCATTTACTTGACAGACAAAGATCACAAGTAGGCAGAGAGGCAGGTTGGGGGAGGGGGAAGCAGGCTCTCACGGAGCAGAGAGCCCGATGTGGGGCTCGATGTGAGGCTCGATCCCAGGACCCTGGGATCATGACCTGAGCTGAAGGCAGAGGCTTTAACCCACTGAGCCACCGAGGTGCCCCAACACTTCACATATATTTTTAAAAATAGATGTATTCAGGGGCACCTGGGTAGCTCAGTGGGTTGAGCTTCTGGCTCTTAGTTCTGACTCAGGTTGCAGTTTGGGGTTCCTGGGACCCAGCCCCATGTCCCTGCGCACATATATTCTCTCTATATTAAATAAATAAATAAATAAATAAATAAATCTTTTTTAAAAAGATGTATTCAAATCATGTATAGACATTTTTTCTAACTTAATCCCCATCATGTGTTACAAAAATAGCTGAAATAAGGAACATAACCCAAACTCCAGCGAAGTAATGAAAGTATTAGTGCAAATCACAATTGGAAAACCAAATAAAGCATTTATAATTGACTTAATATTATCATGTTAAAAACCCCGCTACAAATTTGCACCTCATAAAGCATTTTTAATCCATTCATTATTGCTGTCAAATGACTAGAAAGTCTATTTGGAGTTTGGTCTATTAATCTAATAATATATGATAGGAAGTCAGTGTATTTAAAACCTTTGCAATAGATTTAAATTCCCCATTTCAATGAATAAATATCTTATAATGTGTAGTACTATTATTTAATAATTATAAATGAATGATATACTTAAAGCCTTGCATATAGATTTCCACCACCCTATATTTTTTTCAAATGTTCATTCCTTCTTTCTTTTTTGTCCTTTAGAATCTATTATTTTTGCATATTTTGTCCAATGAAAACATTTAAATCTTTTTTTTTAATTAGAGTATAATTGGCACATAATGTTACAATCATTTCAGGAAAACTTTTAAATCTTAATGCACGAAACAACAAAGTCACCTTCACCTATGTGAAGATCTGCCCTGAGACAGACAAACTATTAAGAAAACAGGTTGTCTGCAATGGTAGATTTGAAGCTAAGACATTTATTTTCTTGGCAGTCTGTTTGAAAGTCAGTCCCCGGTTGAAGTGGACAAATGATGAAGACATTAGATTCATCAATTCCAAGCTGATTTTTGGCCAAGCGTCTCCTGTAATTTA